CATTCGTGACTGACGGATGCAGCCTGCTCCAGACAAGCGGGGTGCCGCGAGGACGCAGGATGAAGCAAGACAGAGGATAAGAGGGACGGGTGTGTGTCCATCATGATCGCTTTCGCTTTCGCTATGCTTGATTCAAGGCGTTTCGGCCCGTTCAGATGACCATATGCAATGGCCATTGACAAAAATAGAGAAAATAATTCCGCGAGGTAAGCAGATGAGCGGTCTGGTGATCTGTGTTTTTGTGAAAAATCCGTGTGGCATGGGATGGCACATCCGGTGAGGTCTTCAGTCCTAGAACCATCGGTATATACAAAGTGACAGTTCGGATATTTTGCAACCATGCGGTTTAATTTTTGTTGTACATGAGCAGTAATCACAGAGCTTTTAAGATTTGTAAACAGAAACAGAACTTTCCGTGGCGTCAATTGTCAGGGAGCCACTAATAAATCTGGTAGAACAGAGACCCGCAGTAGAACGTAATTTAAGTTCTGACAGCAGGCGGTGACACGAGACGCGGTTGTGAGGCCCGAAAGACGTTCTGCCGATCCTACGCATGCGTGATGAATTCGTGGCAGTGTGTCTATAGAGGGAAATGTTTGATTTGTCGAGTCTCTGTGATGTGCCTCAAGGTACATTCTATGCGTCGGAGCGCGAGAGGCATAATGTGTGCATCTACCTCGAGTGCTGAAATTGGAGAAGTCCGCAGCGCTACTTGTGCGAGCTGGAAAAGCATATTTTGAATGACAGCTAGGATTTTTCGATTATTTTCGCCACCACCTGCATACACTACGGAGCCATATTCAATTATCGGCAGAACCAAACATATATAAAATAACAATACTGTAAGCCGGTCAGCTCCGCATCTTGCACCTAACATGCATTTGAGCAAATTCAAGCGTGTCATACCTTTGGTCGGGCACGTTCAACAAGTTCACACATCGATAATCTTAGGTCAAGAGTGACACTTATCTTAATCCTTAATCCTTAATCCCTAATCCTTAATCCTAATCTTAATCCACATTGTTGATCCCGTGTCAGCTTATCATGATCCATTAACCACGCAAGGTGCTCTCCAACCATGCGTTCCATGAGTTTTCCAAGACAGCTGGACAGTGCAATGGGACGATAGTTGCCTGGGTCGTGAGCATCCTTGCCTGGTTTTTGAGATGGGACGATTATGGTGTCCTTCATATGTTTGGAAAAGCATAGGAAGACCAAAGGTCATTCAAAAGATTCAAAATGAGCTGAAGCATATTGTCAGGTAAATGCCGAAAGAGGGGATGGTGTATGTTATCCTGAAATACCAAAATATTGCCGGTGGATTTAATTGCATTTCAAAGCTCTAGCGAAATGATATATCGTAAGTCCCTGTATAACTAGAAAGGAAACAGGTCGGAAGCAAATTGAAACTGGGTCACGCATGATCGATGAATCTTGGCTTATAATTGTCTAATGAACTACAGTGGGCTATAATTTAGGCAAGAGCGTTTATGATCTGCTGCGGCGAGGTCATTAAGGCGTTGGTGACTCTGAAAACTGGGAATGAAAATAAAGTCCGTTTACCAGAAAGTGACCGAACTAATCCCCAAATTTTGCTTCACGGAGTAGCTGCTGTAAATTGTCATAGAAAGCTTAGCCAGCATCAACGTTTGGCGGCTGTTATCAGCTTTCTGGTTTGAGTGCGTTCAGAGCTGCGGGCGAGTAAATGTGGAATATTGTGATTGCGTTGGTAACTCCGAAAAGCACGTTAACGTATGGCAATGGCCTTCTTAACGTCATCTGTCCACCGCTGCGCGGGGGGCGTCGTGATCGAGGTTTTGTTAGTGGAATTGTCAGTGGATTTTTTTAGTTGAGTTATCGCGGTTGTTGCAGAATAAAGAATATGTGCGATGAGCTTACCTCCCGGCTCTGATGAGTCATAACGATAATGGTTGGCAAAACAAAGTTCCTGAAATTTATTTCAGTCTGCCTTTCGTACATTCCAACGGGGTATATAGCGATGAACCGCATCAGCTGCGGCATCAAAAGGGATACAAAATGCAATTAGAAAATGGTCGCTTTCGTGGACATCGCCCTCAACGGTCCAACCAAAGGAAGTCCCCATTGAGTGAGAGCACAATGGCAAGTCAATGGCTGTTTCCGTTCCAGTGGGTAGGTGATGGTAAGTATTATTACCTTTGTTTAGCAGAACTAAACTGTGTGTATCAATAGAATCTTCAACCAAATGTTTTGGCGCTTGATGGCCTGGGTGCCGTTACTCTGTGCTAGACTGTGAGCGTTAACATCGCCGAGGATGAGGAAAGGGTTTGGAAACTGAGTAACGAGTTGGTCAAATTGCCGTAAGAGCTCCGTGTTGTCATAGTTTGGTAAAATGCATATTGAATATACATCGATGGTACAGCCATGCAGCCGAACTGAACATGCAACAGCCTGAAGAGATGTCTGAAGAGTGAGTGGCGTGTATGTTAATTTTTGTCTGATGTACAGTGCCACCTGACCTTGGCGACGCTTACCGTCTGTGGCGTAGCAGCGATATGACGATTAATTTGGTATTTTAAAGTTGTGTTTGTCGGCGGGACGAAGCCATGTTTCCGTTATGTTTGTCGGCGGGACGAAGCCATGTTTCCGTCATGTTTGTCGGCGGGACGAAGCCATGTTTCCTGTACGACGATGACGATTGGAGCTAATACGGCAAAAAGTCCTTTCATTTTAGAGCATTTTGAAACCAGACCGCGACAATTCCACTGAGATGAAAAGCATTTAATGATGCTTGGACGCATCTCCGCCGGATGGTGGGAATCGGCTGAACGAGACGGACCGAGGCCGTCCTGTCACCACCCTTACTGACGGATGAGACCGATGGCCTTCGCTCGGGCGTGCTGTGGCTGGTCTTGTGCTGGGAGAGCGGAGGGACCGTTTATGTGGCGGCCAGAGGGACTGGGAGCGGCCGACTGTTCATAGCTGGAGGGCGAGGACACTAGATGGCTTGAGCCGCACGCGGGCCATGCGTAGCCAGAAGGATGGAACGCCGGCCAGCCTGCGACCAGGAGGGCACGGGCGTCTGGACGTCCGAGCCAGGGGCAACTCAACCGTATTTTTCGTCTGGGTCTGCGTGATTGACTCAGTTGAGGCTCAGTCGCGCTGAGCCTCGGAGTCGTGCTGTTCTCATGCTTTCCTGTTTCTATTTGTCCGCCCCCCCCCCCCCCCCCTGAATGTGAGGCTCCCACCGGTTTTGTTCTACCTGCCCCTCCTTCCAGCTTTCGGCCATAAGCTAAGCTCGATCCCATATGTGCCCATGTTCAGGTCCGTTTTGCATACCGTCTTTCTTGGCTGGGGGCAACCCCAGGACCTCGGAGGGCAAGCGTCCGTATGTCCCGGGTTGATGCCTGGCCTTGAGGTTTTGCTGTTGTGATATTTTGCAGCGTGCTGATTGGGTGGGGCTCGGTCTCGGGCTCTGATTCGGACCACGAACTTGCCCGCGGGACGGGTGGTTGTATCAGCTGTCTCCGCTCTGGTCTGCTGCTCGCCTCTGTGCGGGTCTTTCTTGGTAGTCTGCTGGTCTGTAGTCTGCTGGTCTGGTCTGGTGGTATGTCCACCCCAGTGCGGCGGAAACGCGAGCGGCGTGGGACGCGGTTCCGCCGGATGCCCCGCTCCCCGACGGCCTCCTGCTTCGGACATGCATTTATCGCTTGGCGTGGAGCGCGATTATCCCGGACCACATCCTGCGCTTCTACCAGGGCGTCTCGCCGTAATGATTATTTTTTTTGTAATTAATGCATCATTAATCTTAACATAAGTCTATCTGTTCTTGTCTGGCTAGAATTATGCGCCTGAATGTTCTCGCGGTGAATTCCGACACGGTGACGCCGGGAAGAATCAAAGTAGTTTTAATGGCATGCCATGAAACGAATAAAAACCAGTTTACATTGGCCGCTTCACTAAAACACATCACCGCAATATGCAGAACTTAATAAGCGCGTGTTCACAGCGGTCTTGGTTGTAACTGAAACACCAGAGCCAGAATCAGCGGCGAAGGCAGAGGCACAGGTGTGGGGGTGGAGGTGGGGGTGGGGAGGTGGGGGGCACGCACTCCCGTTAGTCTCCGAGGGGATCTTCGAGCCCTTCGGGACTTCCTTCTAAGGTCCCGAAGGGGCCGCGGGAAGAGATGCAGGGGCCGCAGGAAACGATGCAGGGGCCGCAGGGGGGATGCAGGCGCCGCAGGAAGTGGTGCAAGTCCGCAGAGGGGGATGCAGGCGTCGCAGGAAGTGATGCAGGGCCGCAGAGGGGGATGCAGGGACCGCAGGAAGTAATGCAGGGCCGCAGAGGGGGATGCAGGGGTCGCAGGAGGTGATGCAGGGCCGCAGAGGGGGATGCTCGGGTAAGAGTTTGGGACGAGGCGTTGATGATGGTGCCCAGACCAGGTGGGGGGGGGGGGCATTTCAGAGGTACGGACAGAGATACCAGTGAAAATGTACCTTGCGATGCTTAAGGCTTTGTACCTGTGAAAGCTCTGGCCGTCTCTCGGCGTTTTGTATGGCCTGCTGAAAGACCTTTCTTTTGCGAATGATTTAAAGGTCGTTAAAAATACTCCAAGAAAAATCGTAGTTCTTCCCTGGTACCTGGTTTCTGGTCCGCAATGAATGCTGTGCGATGCGGCCACTCGGTGAAAGTGCTGGGGAAGTCCGAACTACCGACACGTGACACGAAAACAGGTGCAGCTACAAAAGTTCTGGTGCTGCTGCATGCACGAGACGCCACGGGAGGCGTGGGGTCGAAGCGCCAGCAAGGTACGACCCAAACCTTCCGCTAATTACAGTGTCACCGGTGCCTCAGCGCCTTTGGAGCGTCCCCCTTCGCCTGGTCCGGCAATCCCCGCCAGCTGTTCGCATCGCCCGCCTACCGAGCACCCCTCCCCAGCATGCACTGACTCCGCCTCTGGACGGCTGGCCGCTGGCGCAGGCTGGCGATCGCCTGGTGACAAGGCGTGGCCAGTCCAGTATCGCGTGACTCGGCGACGGCGGTGGCGGGATGTGCTCGTCTTTGCTTCTTGTCCTTGGCCTGGCTTTGGTATCGTCGGGGCAAAGTAAGTTGGCGCGTGGCATGCCGGATGCTGCACTGCGCTGTCTGAGGCTGAGGGTTTCCGGTTCAGTTTGAATTTAGAAAGGATTGAGAGCTGGAACTGTCGTGGCTTCCTGATCCTGGCCCCGGCTGCTCCCCTGGTGACTGAGAAGATACTGTGGCTTCCTGATCCTGGCCCCGGCTGCTCCCCTGGTGACTGAGGAGATGCTGTGGCTTCCCATTGTGATCATTGGGGCAGAGGGGTGAAATTGCCCGGGAAAGACAAGTCCGAGTATGCCTTTCAATCATTTTTGCTTTAAATGTTTTGCTAGGACCCCGTGAGGAAACTACCTCAATCGGGTGCGTTTCCAGCCTCCGCACTGGGATCCCGGGCTCGATTCTTAACTGGCTCTAATGCCTCTGGGCGCTTCTTTAACATCTATGGTGACCAGGTTTCTCTTTCTGATTTTTTCAACTTACCAAGCTAAGGTCACAATCTGACGCAATTTGGTACGTTCAGCTCAAATATTGCATTTGTGTTGCTAAAGCGTAAAAGTCAGTGCTGCTAGGATATCGTGCGTTTCTATAAAATTATAGTCTGTCCATATTGTTACCTGCACTCATGTTAAGAATAATCAAACCTCGAGCATCATCGAGCCAGATCGCGCAGTTATTTGCTTCACCGTGTGAAACATCAAACAATGTAAAAAATAGGTATTTTACGTTCAAGCATTAATGGGCTACTTTATCTATGGTTCTCTTTACGGACACTCTTTGTTATATCTCAGGGGGAGCGTTTTCTGCTTTATGTTTGAAGCCGCGGCCACTACAAATTCACGCTTTAAACTCTTATTTTTTGGCACCTTTTCTGTAACATGAGGCGAAAATTCCCTTTCTTAGCTTTCTGAGACGAGATGATGATCCTGTCGATGTCGTAACGCATTCGGACTATCGGGTAAAGCTCCCAGCCCCCCACCCCCCTGCTGGCTGTCCCCAATCTGTAACGAGCTTACATAAATAACATACCATCTAGTCACGGCCCAGAAATTCGGGGCAGAGGTAGATGTTCGTCGCTAGAATTGCGACGGACGAGTTATGTTATGCTGTAATATGGCTATGTTGTAACAATGACTAAATTTTTGAGGCTAGGTAAACAGAAGGCATTAAGTCTCCGCTGTTTGGTACAATAGATTTCAACACTGTCCGAAGTAAGTCCTTTTCTGACCTGAAATTCCAGGCACGTTTTGGCTACTACCCAGACCATTGGTCTGGCTCAACCACGGCGAAGTTTTCGAAGTTTCGGTTAGAAGTAAGTTTGGCCAATTGCTGCCAGGGAGCTAGAATCGCTTTTGAACTAGGATGGGACCGAAAAATCCCATCGCAAAAGACCGTGCGGGAGTAAAAAAATCCATTCACAAAAGACGGAACTTTGAGCTCGTCACGGATGCTTCAGCAAGCAAAGACATCTATTTCAAGTTGGCATGGACGTAACATCAGAAACCTGACAAAACTATTTCGTTTTTTAACATCTTAGGCCATTAAAGTGAAACAGAATACATTAACACGCGCTCGGGTGGCGGGGGGGGGGGGCAAATTGGCCCCCGAGGGCTTTCCCCGAATGGTTTTTGAACATCGCGGCGTAGACGCACCACATTTTGCAAAGCTGTAGAAGATTGCATAGCAGATCGTTTGACATACCAATTTTAGATGTATCTTGTAGCGTCGTTCACCTATGACAGGTCAAAGTCAGCCCATGGTTTCAACGAAGACAATTTATAGGGAAACGTTGAATCTGATACACCAACGGAGTGTTTGACAAATACATAAACATCTGAGGTGCTTTTTTAGGCACCGCAAATATTGAATGAACAAATTACGTTGACCTAAGGTCAGGTACAATGGTCAGACCAAGGTCAAAACCAACCTGATTTATTAATTTAGGGCTTGCTGTATGGGATAGTTTCTGGTGCTCATTTCGAATTGATTGACAGCAGGAACCGCATTATGCATTTTCAGTTGACTTCTTAGAGGTCAGGACAGGCCAATGACCTAAGACGACCCGGGTCGGACGTTTTGTTCTAGGAGCATACTGCCTAGCGTGATCGTTGTCGCTTATTCAAATGAAAACCCAGGGCAGTCTTGTATCATTTTGGTCACTATGACCTTCAAAGGTTCAAACGAGGTCAATGACCTCAAATGGGCTTGTAACCTTTTTCTTAGAGACAGTTGCCTAGATTCTGGAGCGCTCTGGAGACCAACCTGGAATTTGAAAATGTTTGACCTTATTTGACCTGAAGGTCATAACCTATGAAGCTGGAACCCTAACCTAAGTGAGTTCACGTATAGGTTAAGACACCCTGTGAATTTGGTGTCTCTAGCTTTCTTAGTTCTCGAGATCTCAGAGGGGGGTTCAAATTACCCCTCCCCCACACCCGAGCGAAGGGAATCTAGCCGGCCAACTGGGCGCGTGTTGCAGCACAGTAATTTCATGACAGTATCATGAGCATAACAAAATACTAACACCAATAATTTGATGCGGCACTTTTCAGTTCCCTTCTACAGCACTTTTAAAACAAAACAAATCAAGGCAAAGCAAATTAAATAGCAATATAACAACAGAAAATTCAACAAGCAAAAAACACTCAAACAAAACAAAACATTGGACTCCTGCACATCAGCCCAGCACCAAGTCAAACACAATAGATATAATTCTGGCTTCTATTAAGGTGGGGTCAGGGAAAGCAAACATTTTGTCACTGCTTCTTACAAAATATCAATGACTATTTCCATGAAAGTAGCCTATGCCGAACCTAAAAAGGCCTTACGTCATCTCATCCTGTATAACCTGCTTTTATCACAGCAGCAGTTGTGAGTTATTGATTCTTGCACAATTCCTGTTGCCACTTGCCATCCACTTGCCAACTTAACCTAACTTAGAGTAGCCCGTAGGATGAACATCATCTGAACTCGCCTATCTGTTGACAGCAGCACTGGTGATTAAAACCTGGTACTTAAAGCTAGTTTTTGGCTGGTTTCAACCTGCATTTTTATTCCGCTTATTTTTGCATGCTTGTTGACATGAGACCAAGTTGGCAACATGCAAATTAAAACACTTTAAATCACTTTGAAAAACTAATTTTGATTGCCATGGTTGGCCTATGTCAAGGGCAATAATTGGTATGCTCCACAAAACAATCTCTGTTCTCCAAAAATAACATAACTTTTGGATGGCCATGCCAGTATTGCTGCTTGCCTTTTCAGCTGCAGCAAATGCATCCACTTGGGCTCTTTTATTCATATTTAATGACAAAATTTGAGATGTTGGCTTCACATTTGAAATGGGGTGGTCTGACTATTTGTTATATAACAATATTTAACTCATATTATAATTGCTATGTAGCTTAGAGTATCCCTGTGTTAAAAACATAGTACATATATAAAGTACAGTCATTTGCCGGTCAGCAAACCATTTATATAGGTACTGTAATAAATATATGCATGTAATATATACATATATGTAATGTAATATATATATATATATATATATATATATATACAATATATATATATATATATATATATATATATATATATATATATATATATATATATATGTAATGTAATAAACCAACTATGGAAAACGTGTGGTTAAAGTAGCCATTAGGAACCACTTTGAGAAGTTTGGGGCTAATAACCAAGAATATGGAACGAAATAAGCCAATGTCATGCCTTGAGGCATCATCATTTGTTTTGTGGCAAAACTCGATGCATTAGAACAGAAAATGGCTAACCCTCGTTATCAATCATGTGCTGAAAGCAAGCAAGGTAAGCAATTACCTCGTCCAGAGGAGACTTACCGGCTTCTTCCTGCTCCTCCAAAAACACAAATTCAGCACCTTTTGCATGGTCTGCTGGCAGATATATATATATATATATATATATATATATATATATATATATATATAAATCATGCCCCTCAACCTTCGAGATTAAAATGCGAAACAAGTAAGAGGTGCACATGATAAACATCCCCACAGGGAAAAAAATCGCCATCAAACACTTCTGTATTAGCTGCGTCAGGTCTGTCCCAAGACTCCATATGGCAGCATATTCTGATGCTGCCATATGGAGGCAGCATTGCAGTTTCCAGCAGTTTGGCAAAATGAATGTCATGTTTGATCTCACCATGGCCATGCCCGTCAGATGTCGCCCGCAAATCGACTTTCTAACTCAAAGTGGGAGAGTACTTAATCTGCACTATCGCAGCAACAAGCTGACCAGCACACTTCAACACGAGAAGGCCGTCCACGTTTTAAACCTGTCTTGAATTGCGTTGATGATTACTCCATCTGTTACAAGAACGCGCATTTATTTGCTATACGGAGAATATAGGACCTGGCAAGCAGAGTCATTTCATGTGAGGGGCGTCAATACTAGCAAAGACAGAAACGAAAGCTCAAGATGCACTTTGATTGATGTGTTGCTCAACTTTTTGGGTCTGCAAATGACAGTTTGTAATAATGTCTTTTATATTTACAATGCTCCCTAGCCTCTGCATGTTTGAAGGGAAAACGTTGACTGATGTTTGAAGCGGGGGACAATCAGCCAACAAATTGAAATGGTTGCCGGTGTACGTTGCATTTGGATCGCGTGCTGCTTGGCTCACACAAATCGCTAAGCTGTAAATTTCGGCGAGAAGCTGTGTTTTATTGATGATATCAAGATAAGTTACTCCATTTTGGCGGAAAAAATAAATGCTCTTGGCCACCTGCACACCATAAAAAGGCATTATGTCTCAAATAACTGTTCTACACCTGATGAGTCATGTTTGGCTGCGGGCTAGAGGGTTGAGGGTTTAGGGAAACTGGACTATTTAGCACTTTTCTAGCTTCCAAATGAGTGCTATGGTTGTATCATGAATTCTCACATTTTCGTCGATCCCGACGACGAGTCGCTGCGAGAATAGCCCAAGCCCCGTCACCTTTTGCCTCCTCTCGGCGCTTGTTAATACCGCCGGTAAGGTCT